ATCGCGGCTTCCATATTATTATTATTACCGGTTTTATTGTTATTACTATTATATTTATATATATATATATATTTTTTTTCCTGTGGTTTGGGTGGCCATTTGTAAGGGAACTTGTTCCTGTTTTTGGCTTTCACCCTCAGCTTTATATATATGAATATGTATGTATTTCTGTTGAGAAAATGATTAAAGTAAAGTAAAGATACGATGTAGACGATTCGTTGAAAAAAAACGACGATAAAACAACCGATAAAACATAACCAGATATACATTTCTGTTGGTAGGGTATCCGGTCACTTCATGGTTAGATCGCTCCAAGTCAGTTTGCTCTAAGCGCATATAGATTATTCCTCGTTCTTTCATCCACTGCCAAGCCAATCTCGGTTTGTTGAGGTAGCGTATTCATCCTGTGTGGTTGCAGCGAACTGATCGACTTGGAGCGATCTAACCATGGAGTGAAATGATCGTAATTCGTTGGTGAGCTTTTTGCGTAACCTTATATTATAAACTTAAGTTTTGTAGCGTTCTGACCGGACGGGAGACCTGAAAACTTGCAAAAGAAATGTGATTCGTACTGTCGTGTATAGTTTTCCTGAAATCAGTTTCTAAGCTACTCGGAAGCAAGCAAGAGTCGAACGGTGGAACCCAACTAGCCACACTGGTCAGATGTTTTTCGTTAGAGCTTTCTTATTTTAATTGTCTGCCCTGTGTTATTCAGATTCAATGGCTTTTTTGATGAAGACAGTACACAAGAGACATTGTACCACAACTCAGTTTGCCCGCTGATTCCTTATGTGCTACAAGGCCACAATGCCAGTGTGTTTGCATATGGTCCCACTGGGGCAGGTATGGAGATCTTTCAGTTGCAAACTTCCTTACAAAACTATCTGTCCGAAATAGAACATATAATTAAAAAATCCCAAATAAGACAGAGAAGCTTTTCAGTGAGCAGCATCTCCATTAATCCATTAAAAAAGGTCTCCATTAATTGTCAAAAAAAAAAACAGTAACACAGACAGACAGACAGACAGACAGACAGACAGACAGACAGACGGAGAAAACAACCTGCTCCCTGGAGCCCAGCCCTTATTGAAATCCGTGTACCCTGCACATGTGAGAAATTCTTGATCTTTGCAGTCTCACTCAAGGGGGCAGAAAGATGAGAGACCCTGGAAATGAGGTTGCCAAAACTGTAAATTAGATAGTACACGTATGAACTGAATCCTTATTTTTCCTTTTCTAACAAATGAAGGAAAAACACACACAATGGTTGGATCACCAGAACAACCAGGTTAGTAGAATGTCCTGGCTTTCTATCAAGTTGATAAATTTAGACAATCTAGTACCTTTATTAACTGCCTAATAGCAAGGTTGTGAAGCTGATGTGTTGAGCATTGGTGCTTTATCTGAGCAAAGGGCTAATGCTTGGAATGTCAGCCTTACAAGCACACTTCAGAAATTAATTTAGCTTTTTCTTCAAGTTGACAAAATGTATTATAGCTAAGTGTTNTGCTTGCTTAACAGTGCAGACCAACAGTTTCTTCGGAAATTGAGTCTCTTCTCACATCTTGGCTTTTTGCTCACAGTCTTTTGAACCTCTCTCCATAGATTTTGATTTGAAGACTGCGCATAGTTCAAGGATCAATGCATGATTAAATAAATATTTGATCAAATATTAAATGAATTTATAAAGAGATACTAGATACCCTGCAAGCCGCTGTAAGGTACTTGCATGTGATATATAGGGTTATAACAGTTTAATTACTGATAAAAAA